AGGCRTTATGATGTATTTTGGTTCACCAGAACATACAAAGTAAATAATCCAYGGAGTAATATAGCAAAGTACAAGAGGAATATGCTTCTAAGTTATAATACTTGATGGTCAAGTGCTCATTTAGAATGCATTCAATAAATCATCAATCTTTTTTGGGCCAGTTGATGGTCAAGTGCTCATTTAGAATGCTTCTAAGTTATAATAGTTGAGGGATAAAGGGAACAATGGTTTGTAGATACGTGAGTGTTTAGTAATATAGCAAAGTACAAGAGAGATATGCTTATTAGTTGTATTTTAACTATTATAACCAAAGAATTCAGAAGGAGATTGCGAGAAAATGGAGAGAAGTGGACCATTGGTAAGAACGGAAGACGAAGAACTATAAGTAAAGATCAAACTTAGGGGCCGTTTACCAAACACTTACCCGGTAMGTGCTTACCGGTAAAATTTAACACCAATATTTATGTATCGGGTAAGATTTTAGTCCACTAAAACGAAATCATATGCAATAATTTAATCGATAAGTGCTTACCATGGTAAGAGTCGTCGGTCTCACTTACCGGGTAAGATTTATGGTCCTTGTCTCGCTCTTACCGGGTAAGATTCTTTCTCCTTACCATATTCATCCGGTGAGGTAACATGACTTGGTAAATGCTTAACCGGGTAAGTGTTTGGTAAACGGCTCCTTAGTCATAAGATTGTGGTCCTACTAAATATTTTTCAGTTTTCGGAATTGCTATTTAAGTCTTGTAATCTTTGTTTTCTAATCAAGTGAAGAAAAGTTGCCTTCCTTTTCAGGTACAACACTTGTCTCATATGCAACATGCCTTAATAGTAATAGCTATGATGATAACCCTTTCCCCATAAACCCCATTGCTTTAAAGAAGGACACATTCATGTGACATCTCATCCACCGTGCAAGCAGTCTACGAGAAGATGCAACTGACATCGTGTGAGAATCTAAGCATTTATATCAACTATAATGGAAGTTATAGACTATCTATTATACTTCTTGCTACTGGTGTTAAAATTTGTAAATTGAGTTTGTTATACTTTCTTTAGTTATATGTTACATATGTATAGGATGATTGATGGTAGGAGGGTAACAATTGATATTTCTAGTCAGATCCTATATTATTGGATGATCGGTTGTAAGAATTATCTGGTATTAACAGATTACTGTTCCATATCAGGCAATAGTACAACTGCTTCAACCAGAGCCTGTGAGTTTCTGATTCAGGGTAATTCTTTATCTAGGTCAAGCCTCTGAAGAAAACATCAATTATTTTAGTTACTCTCAAATATGACAACTCTGGATCCTGCTTCAATTTCTCAAGTAGGCTGTCTAAGAAGATTTTTGCACCGAGACTCATTATTAGTGCCCCGAAAACGACTACACCTGTGAGGGCGAAGAAAGTGGCAAATAGTATTGCGATATCGCTATCGGGAGTAAGGTCTTTATACCATTTGAAGTGAGTAAAACAACAGTGACATAAAAAGTATCAAGGACGTTGTTTATTTTGTTTCAATTATTGATGCATTCATGTGAACAAACTCGTAGAAGAAAAATCCTTKTTAGCAATATGGTCAACAAATATATCAACAAGCCAAAAGAATCTCATTTCACAAAGTTTCTAGGTCAAGCCTGGTGCAAACWGTATTGTTCTTTCAAATCACAAACTCTCTAGTTTTTCTTCTAAAATTTCTTTCTAGCCTCTTACTTCAAAGATTCAAGCTACAACCACCAAGCATATAGATTGGAAAGGGAAGTCTTATTACCTGCTCAAGCGAGACGAAGAGGCGAAGAGGATGAACATCGGTTCAAGCGGGACGAAGAGCAGAGAGGAGGAGAGAACCGGCGAGAGCAGTGGGGAGTTCGAGGTTATCTCCGGCGAGAGCAGTGGGGAGTTGGAGGAGACCGGCGAGAGCAGTGGGCGGCGAGAGNGAGCAGTGGGGAGTTGGAGGAGACCGGCGAGAGCAGTGGGCGGCGAGAGGTGGGAGACGAGAGCAGTGGGCGACGATGGTGGAGACGGAAGACAACTGGGGAATTTGTGCGAGAAGAAGTAGCGTAGAAGAGGAGCCCGAATTTGGATTTCAAAATCCAGCCCATTTACAATGGATTTCAAAATCCCTTGTTTATGGGATTTTAAAAACTACACTGGATTTAAAATCCAGCCCATTTAGCAAACCAAACAAGGGAAGGGAATGGATTTCAAATCCAAATCCCTCCAAATCCCTCAAACCAAACGCACCCTTAAATTTCAACACATAACCGTTTTAGGTATAGATATAGATATAGATATGCACGTTTGTATATTATAGCTATTGCTATGTACATATTTTTGAATTAAATTTAGACCAAAATTAAAAAAGATTAATTAAGTATAAGTTTAGACGAAAATTAAAAATAATTACGTGGATAAAATACAATTCTTGGAATTTGATGAATTAAATCTTTATTTAATTAATTTCCGTCACTAATCTATCATAAATGAATCAAACTATTTTTTATTTTTTATTTTTTAGAGATCCACCGTAATGATTCGAAAAGATAATTTTTAGCCACTCATTATTTAGGGTTGTTAGGAAAAAAGCATGGGTGGAGGCTCCTTTTTAATATCGTTCTTCTGAATATTTAATTTTAATGATTTTTAATGGTTGAAATATAATTATGTTTAAAGGATTATTCAAATTTTAATCATTTTTTATGATTTCTTATTTTCAAGAATTCTTCAAAATATTTGTTGGAATCTAAAATCAATCAAAATGCTCCTTTTTCTCCGTTTTTAATAATCTTTATAAATAAATACAAATAAATTTTATATTTTGTTTATTTTTCATATTTATTCATACAAAACAACTATATATAAGGTGTACACTAATACAAGTGATTTACCTTTTTGATATAAATTGGGGGTGAGCATCAGAACTGGATACCTATCTTTGACTTCGTAATTGTCGGTTCTGGACCCGGAACATATGTGACTGGTTTCTAAAATACAGAATTGATCCGGACTAGTTCCAGTTCTGGTTCAATTCTCGTTCTTTGGAACCGTTAACCACTGAGTATCCGTCGGGATGGGTTACGAGATAGGGCACCCGGTTCCGCTAGGTACCCAGAACCGGAACCGATGAGTACCCGTTATTTGTTTTAATAAAAATTATTTTATATGTTTATTTTATTTAATAAAATAAAATTGAAATTATTAAGTTTCCTTAAGAGTTGAATCAGTTATCGTTGCCGTCAAGAGTTCCTTATCAAATTATTTATGTAATTATTAGTTTTTACGGTTTGTAGTAGTTATTTTTTTACGTTGGTACTTTGTAATAGACTAATAATTACTTTCTTATAACATGAAAAGATAAAATTTTAGAAAAAGAATTAGACATCAGGTACCCGGTGCCGCAACCGGTTCCGTACTAGTTCCCAAATATAAAGAACCAGAATAACCGGTTTCCGGTTCCGATTCCTTCATTCCAGAAACTGCGGGTTCCCATTCCATGACCAGCTCCATAAATTTTGGCTCATCACCTATAAATAAAACCTTCAATTAATCCTACTTTTGTTTGATGGGTTTAATTTGGTTTTTAGAATAGGAGATGATGAAAACAATTAAGAGAGTACTACGACAATTCGAACAACCACTTGTGCATGCATTTGTTCAAGACTACAAGAAACTACCACAACATTTGGTAGCTCCATAAACCAAAATCTCAAGTATAAGTTGTTCTGGACCCAAACTACAAAACTAGTCACAAGTTGTAAACGGTAAGAAACTGCAACAATGCAACAGCTTCCATCCAACTACCACCGCTGCCACCGCCAACTCCGCCACCACAACCACCAACGCCACCACTACCACCAACGCCACCATATACCTGCATTGTTGCAGTTTCAGTCTTCCTCATCTGTCTCCGGCACAAGATTTAGGTCAATCAGACGTCGTTCATCAGTTGTCTTGGCTAGAGCCGGCGCAGATGCACTTTTAGGTGTTTGGTGGTCTTCTGTTGGCTTGATTTGAAATATTCGACTTGACGTTCCAAAATCCAATGGCTTAAAACGGCTGACCTGCTGTTGAGCACCTGGTGGCTTTTCTAGCCGACAACTTGAGTCAGCTTGCTTCATAATAATGCTATCAGGCTGTGGACTCGGCTTTTTCTGGTTTAATTCCGAGCCACCCACGATGGCTGGCTTTCGAGTGTTTACCGTCCGTCGAGTTCTTTTTCGGCGGGTGGTTCCAGAGGGTTTCTTGCCACGCCGAGAATTCACAGTTTGATGACGGCGTCTCACAGTCATACAGCCACTGCAAGTGCATGTTGAGTGGTGTTTGGTCCCACTTGGAGCCTGAATGCAGACAATACAGCTGCAACCAGGCCGGTGACGTGGGTGCTTGGTGGTGGCCTTTGCAGGAGATGGTAACGCCGGCGGCGGCGGCACATTCTCCTCCTCGATTACAGCATCTGCATCTCGACCCATCACCGATTCCAGTGGTTCCGGCTGCTGGTCTATGATCTTCATCTTCTTTGAAGATCCTGCAGTCATGAAATTAACACACATGCAGATTGATCATGATCAAGATCAAAATACGTACTGAAAGTTGATGACTTGAACACGAAAACAAGAAAATGTAAACGATGGATCGATCAAGATCATTCGCACCCTCATCACTGCTCCTTGGAAACATATTCTTGACCCTGTTGTCCGACATCATCTCTTCTGTAGCTGAACAGCATGATCTGGTGCACCAACATGAATCGATCACAATCAGTTCTTTCAACAAAATTACGATCTCCAAGCACACATCGATCATTACAATAAGATCGTGCTTAACAAACTTATTAAACTTCCATACCGATCGTCTAAAAACATCTTAATAAACTTATTATAGTACTTTAACATAAGATACAATTGTTTGAATTCTATAATCTTAAGTCTGTAAATCACATCCACATTCCACCTAGGGTTTACAAAGCCCTTTAAAAGAATTGTAAATGGCCACCTAAGCAAAATCTTGCTCGACACTTGCAAAATTTGCAATTGTTGTTGCAATGCCAACTAAACTTGTTGGTGAATTGCAGCTATATAGATGGTAAATGTAAAAGCTGATGTGACACAATTGAAAGTATAAATGAATTGTAGACATGTAGAAGGTCTTATATTGTACATTTTTAACGTTGTATAAACCCATAAATGATACAAAGTAGGGTAGGTCTAGTATAGAAAATTGGTACCTGTGGGGATCCCACTGGTTGTGAGAACAGGTCCAGCCTGCTGGAATAACAACATCCATTGGAACCTTACGCCATTTGTAACATCCTTCGCATTGAGCCCATTGAATCATTTTGCTGTCACATGAAATGCAGAATAAGTTTTTTTTTAACATTTTAATCAGTTCTTTTATGATACTTTTAAAATAAAGTATTTTCGGTTTTAAAGGATTAAAAGACGAAAAAGAAGCTACACGACAAACTTACTTAACAAGGTTTTCGATGATGGTGGGCCTCCCTATGACCGGAACATCCTGTAACGAACCAAAGTTATGATAATATTGCTTGATAATACAAGAATCAAGTATTCATGATAGATAACGCTAGATGAATAATGAAAATTATTTATGATGTAGTGTCGTGGTACATATTTATGACGGAAATATTCAATATAAAAATCCATTATAATAATGATAAAAATACATAATTTTTATAATAAAAATGCATAATGTCATGATAATAATGCATTAATTAGTAAATAACCAGAATACATGATGATATTTTTGAGATATTCATGATTATTGAGTGTTATTCATAATGAATAGTTGGTTCTCAATGAATTTGAGGTTATATATATACATATATGGTCGCGTGAGAAATCAAAATTTAGTGAGAAGTGTATGAAGGTTATAAAAAATGTTAATAGATGTTAGCATGAAAATACCGTAAAGTTAAAATAAATTAATATACATTAACATGAAATGTTAACATGTTAACTTATGTGAACTTCCGCTAACAAAGTGTTTCCTATGTTTCTCATCACTCAAACCCAACCATATATATATATGATTGAGTTACAGCGAGAATGAAAGTTTTGATAAGAAAGGTGAGAAGAGATCTCCATCCTTGGATCAATCTTAATTGAAGATTAACACTAAGTTGGTGCACCAAGATGCACATAATCAATTCCCGTAAGAAACGCAATTTATGAGGTGCGGTGAGATTGAAAGTGATCAAGGGTCCAGATTATTTCTTACATTTCTCACTCTAACTTCTATTCTTACACAATCCATCGTTCATATATATAGGATTGAGTTCGTGTGAGAAAAAAAGTTATGGTGAGAGGGTAATAATGGATATCCATCCTTAATCAATCCATAATTGAAAATCAACATTAATTAATGTGGTACATCAAGATGCCGTGAGAAGAGCAATTCATAGGGTCGGGATGAGACTAGAAGTGGTCAAGTTCAGAAGAAAATGCTAAATAAATGAAAAACCAGAAAACCATAAAAAAGCGGATGGAAAAGTATACGAAGATGGATATCAAATTAAAATGTGATTGTTTTTCTTTGTGTAATTTGTGTCGTTTGAATTTTGATTATATTCCTATTTTTTGATTTAAAAAATAGAGGATGAGAGATTTCTAAGTTTAAAAATATAGATGTGTTCGTTTATCTAATCACATCCATTTGATCAATTAATCAAACGGTCTACAGTGGTGCTTTTCCGTTTTTCAAGAGAAAAAATGACACAGATTATAGAGTCGTCAACTACCTCATAACCCATGATTTCGACCCCATCGATCACCACAGATTTGGGAACTCGACCACCCAGTGGTGGCCGAACTAGTTCCTGAGCTTCTTTGGAAGTGAGATCAAGTTCCACCATCTCCTTTTCGGGTTCATTAATGTCACTGCCCCAACCCATTTTGGAACTCTTCCTTTTGCTTCGACCCGCAGCCTTGGCTCGAACCACTTCCGACTGAATATTGCTTGTTGGATCATCTGGCTTCATCTGGCTAACCGCAGCTGAACTGGTATTTCCCTTTGAAACGTCATTACGAGGGCTTACGGTTACGATGGCCTGCAGATTGATAAGGAGTATTAGAAACGACCAAGTCTTAATCACATCGGTTGTACCCAAAAAAGGGATTTTCTAAAATAGAGAAAATGGAGATTTTGAAGTTTTTCGTTCCAACAAGAACAAATTAGCATTTAATCAACGATTCGCATGCGTTGACACCCGTTGCTTGACGGAAGAATAGACCGACCTGTTTCAATGACAAAGCAGTACTTTTAGCCTTTCGATATCCCATTATCAGCTTTCCTTCGGGCTCTAACCGACTAAATGTCACTGATCATATATATATATAACTCATTAGGCTCTTAACGTAGAAATAACCCGAACTAAAAAAACTCAGATAATTAAGATCGATCAAGTTATTTCGTTACCAACGTCGCCTTCTACGAGTTCCACCGACTTGACAACTAGACTGAATCCTTCTAGAACGTACATTCTGCTATTATTGTTAGGCCAGAACCTAAGATTTAGATCCCAATTTTTTCCTTCTGTATCTTGAATTGATAAGGGTTCGCCAAAAGGTTCATTCACCGGAGGAAAGTAAGCCTGTAAAAGAACAATAATCGAAAACCACCAAAATGCTCAAGTCGATTGAATTAAGGTGTGGTGAGTCGAGTTGAACACGAACGATACATATGAACACCAACCTCGGCACATCTCTTTGGCAGCACGAGCCGGCCTACCCTCCCAGCGTCGCTAGCAGTAAGCTTTTTCTCGAACAAGGGAGTTATTTTTGCATCCGAACTATTAGATCAAATGATTTGAATGAATAGTCAGAATGAATAGATTTAACGTATTGATTAACATATATTAGTTTCATATGTATTTGGTTCATAATATGAAACAAATATATGTTAATTAATATCGCAAATCTCGTAGCCTTAATCAATCATTTAAATTTAGTATAGTACGTACCATTCAGTAACCTGTTTGGGCATGTAACGATCCAGTAGGTGGTCATTCCCATGGCGGGATTGAGCAGTGAACGATTTACTTCCAAGCAAATGACGCGATGGACTGTGCTCAGTTCCTGAAACGAATTAATAGCGAATGATGAAAAGAAAACTAGCTAGTTTCGTACAAGTTAAATGGTGATAATTGATATATATATATACCAACTGCTGTTTTGTCCTTAATCACATGTGAAGCACGAATCTGTGAGCTTCGCTTCACTGATGAATTCTTCCTTTCACCGAGCCAAGAGGGTTGTGTTGGGCGAACAGATATGTCGACTTGTGGTTGTGGTTGTGGTTCGGTGTTGGATGAATTTAACAAACAGGGTGTTTGAACAGCCGCAGGACCCCGAACCGGGATTGAGCTGGTTGAGATAACACTCGTCTTTTCAGAACTGCGCTTGCGAAAAGAAGCAGCCGGCCTGGACCAACTCGGTGGCTGAAACAATATCACATTCGTAGAAAATGGAAATCAGAGAGTATAAATAGACATATAGAGAAAGAATTGGAAACACCTGACTTAGACCACATTTTTACACTTGAAACTTCACAACATAACATTATGAAGGCAACCTTTACACCGTTTTTGTTATGAAGGTTCAAGTTTTTTACCTTCACAGTGCTTTGCTATGAAGTTTCAAGTATAAAAAAGTGATTTTACGGATCTTATGAAAGTCTCATGTGAACCCAACCCTATATATATATATATATATATATGTATATATATATGTATATATGTATATATATGTGTATATATATGTATATATGTGTATATATATATGTATATACATATGTATATATGTATATATATGTACATATGTATATATGTATATATATATATATATACACACACTGA